GCAGGGAGAGGAGTGGAAGGCAACACACTCTCGATTTAACAAGTGAGTCGTGAGGCTAACATGATGCTGCAATGCGACCGATGCTGCTCTCTGTCTGTATGCGCACTTGAAGATATAACGGAAAGGTGGAAAGCGGTGATAATGCAGAAACAGGGTAATGGAAGGAGAATGGAAGGGTTGAGAACAGATGCGTGTGAGAACCTTCAACCTTACTCACCTGCTCACATAACAGTCAGCAGCCTACCACCCACCTGCTCACATAACAGTCAGCAGCCTACCACCCACCTGCTCACCTAACAGTCAGCAGCCTACCACTCACCTGCTCACATAACAGTCAGCAGCCTACCACCCACCTACTGACAGACCCACCAGGGCAGTGTGTCCAATCCAAACTGTGAGTATGACACATCTAATAGCTGCCAGGGCAGTGTGGCTGGCAGGGCAGTGTGGTTGCCCCATGCCCCCGAACTTACTCCTACATCAACAAGCAAAGCCAGTCCACTCAATAAGAAAGTCATGGCTCTGTACAGACCTTGTTTCGTCGACAAAAAAGGTCAGCTGTGCGGAGCAAAGACTTTCCGAGTGGACTCAACTTAAACGAGCCACCTTTTGAGGCACCTCAAAAGCCGTACCAGGCCAGGGCAGTGTGGTTGCCCGATGCGTCCAAACTCTTATGTCGACAAATGAAAGTCAGCTGTGCAGAGCAAAGACTTTCCGAGTGGACTCAACTCAAACAAGCCATCTGGTCACCCACAGAGACTCCAGGGACGTGTGGACTCCACGTGGACGCCTAGCGTAAACACAGTAAATCACATTTTGAGTGGACTCAAAACGAGCCAGGTAGTAACTCATATTTGGAGTGGACTCAAAGCGAGCCAGGTAGTGACTCATATTTTGAGTGGACTCAAAGCGAGCCAGGTAGTAACTCATATTTTGAGTGGACTCAAAGCGAGCCAGGTAGTGACTCATATTTTGAGTGGACTCAAAGCGAGCCAGGTAGTAACTCATATTTGGAGTGGACTCAAAGCGAGCCAGGTGGTAACTTATATTTTGAGTGGACTCAAAGCGAGCCAAGTAAAAACTCATATTTTGAGTGGACTCAAAACAAGCCACCTGGTGACTCACAGAGACTCCAGGGACGTGAGGTTGCCTATTGCCTCTGGAATGCTGCCAGTCAATCCCTTGTTGTCACCCAAACTTCTGCGTACGGCTCATAGGGGAAGGAAGGACAGGGAGATGGAAGTGGAAAAAGAGGGAAGTATGAGGGATAAGTTGAGGGAAGGAAAAAGATCACTAGAGGCAGAGGGGAACGATAAGGAGATGGCAGAAGCAGAGGAGAATCAATAAGCATGTCATTATAACCCCAGCCAAAGCTGGCACATAAGTTCAAGGTTTAGGGTTTTAGGATTTAGGGTAGGAGAGAGAAGGTAGAAGCAATAAGGCCGCACAAGGTGGTGAGGTTGGTGAGAGAGGCGATCTGAGGCGGAATGGGCCCTGTGAAGCCGTTGCTGCTCAGATCCCTGCTCACGTGGTGAGGGCAGGGGGGAGGTGAGGGCATGGGGGAGGTGAGGGCATGGGGGAAGAGGCATAAAACATGAGACATCTAAAGAATGACCCTGTGAAAGTTGCTGCTCATATCCCTGCTCACGAGGTGCGGGCATGGGGAGATTATGGACATGGGGGAATGTCCGGGCATGGGGGAGGTGCGGGTATGGGGAGATGTGCGGAATATGTGAGACGTCTAAAGAATGGACTCTGTGAAGCAGTTGCGGCGCAAATTCCTGCTTGCAAGTGGCCCCATGGAGGGAGGTGCGGGCATGGGGGAGGTGCGGGCATGGGGGAGGTGCGGGCATTGGGGAAGGTGCGGGCATGGGGGGAGGTGCGGGCATGGGGGAGGTGCGGGCATTGGGGGGGGAGGTGGGGGCATGGGGGGAGGTGCGGGCATGGGGGGAGGTGCGGGCATGGGGGAAGGAAGGAGCAAACATGAACTTTCTCAGACGTCTAAACAATGACTTCCCGAAACTGCTTCCTGCTCGAGCATTGCACGCCTGGGGCGAGTGAGGTGCTGGGGAAGTTCTCAAAAGGTACACCTTTGCGTGCTGGGGAAGTTCTCAATAGGTACACCTTTGCGTGCTGGGGAAGTTCTCAGAAGGTACACCTTTGCGTGCTGGGGAAGTTCTCAAAAGGTACACCTTTGCGTGCTGGGGAAGTTCTCAAAAGGTACACCTTTGCGTGCTGGGGAAGTTCTCAAAAGGTACACCTTTGCGTGCTGGGGAAGTTCTCAAAAGGTACACCTTTGCGTGCTGGGGAAGTTCTCAAAGAGGTACACCTTTGCGTGCTGGGGAAGTTCTCAAAAGGTACACCTTTGCGTGCTGGGGAAGTTCTCAAAAGGTACACCTTTGCGTGCTGGGGAAGTTCTCAATAGGTACACCTTTGCGTGCTGGGGAAATTCTCAAAAGGTACACCTTTGCGTGCTGGGGAAGTTCTCAATAGGTACACCTTTGCATGCTGGGAAGTTCTCAAAAGGTACACCTTTGCGTGCTGGGGAAGTTCTCAAAAGGTACACCTTTGCGTGCTGGGGAAGTTCTCAATAGGAAAACCTTTGCGTGCTGGGGAAGTTCTGAAAAGGAGAAGTTCACAATAGGAGAAGTTCACAATAGGAGAAGTTCACAATAGGAGAAGTTCACAATAGGAGAAGTTCACAATAGGAGAAGTTCACAATAGGAGAAGTTCACAATAGGAGAAGTTCACAATAGGAGAAGTTCACAATAGGAGAAGTTCACAATAGGAGAAGTTCACAATAGGAGAAGTTCACAATAGGAACAGTATCTAGTCTGAGGTTGGGGTTGGGGTTGGGGTTCACCTTTGCGTGCTGGACTCCAGATGAGGGGATTGGGGTCGCTTACACGAGGGAAGCGAAGGTCGCTTACACGAAGGAAGCGAAGGTTGCTTACACGAGGGAGAGGAGCTTGGCTTGGTCGATGAAAGGGGGAATGGAACCGGAGAGTTGATTGTGGTGCAACGAGCTGATGATGGGTTGAGAGGGATAGAGAGGGTTGAAGAACGAGGGAGGAGGGGAGACGAGGGAGGGAAGAGGGAAGAGGAGGGGATAGAAGCATGAGGGAGGAGGGTGAGAGAGAAGGGAGAGAAGGAGGAGGTGAGTGATGAAAAGAAGTGTCACACACGACCTCAGGGCTGCGGAAACAAGCACGATGCTTCACATGCAATCAAATTTCCTTAACTAAACTAAGCTGCTGCCACGCAAGGTTGTGTCTCCCAAGTGGAAATCTATTGGGCTGCTGAAACAAGCACAATGCATCACACGCAGACACCTTCCCTCTTGACGGGATTGACTGCAACACTCTGAATGAAAGCCCGTGCCGCGAAATAGATCTTCAGCAAGCAATTGAGTAGTGTGCCATCGGTCAGGGTGACAGCGATTGGGAGGATCACGAGGTTGCTGAAGCTGCTGGTGCTGTTGCTTGAGGTGTGACTTTTGAGCTGACTCAATTAGGTGTCATATTTGGCATTCAAGTGGCGTTCAATCAGATCAGACTCACAGCGAGCGGGGGTTCACGAGGTTGCTGAAGCTGCTGGGAATGGCTCCTTCAAATGAGTTGCCGCTCAAGTCCCTGCAGCCAGACATGGCATGGCACATGTGGCAGGCACATGGTTTAACGTCTCAAAAGTCAAATCCCTGCAGGCTGCAGCAACGCGTCGCATTGCGCTGTGTCACTCGGATGTGCATACATTGCATTGCGGCACCTTATGCCGCTTCACAGGGTCCTTTCCGGCTGTGCCTGCAACAACGCGTCGCATGGCGCATGTGTCACTCGCATGTGTAACTCGCATGTGTCACTCGCATGTGTAACTCGCATGTGTAACTCGCATGTGTCACTCGCATGTGTAACTCGCATGTGTCACTCGCATGTGTAACTCGCATGTGTCACTCGCATGTGTAACTCGCATGTGTCACTTGCATGTGTAACTCGCATGTGTCACTCGCATGTGTAACTCGCATGTGTCACTCGCATGTGTAACTCGCATGTGTCACTCGCATGTGTAACTCGCATGTGTCACTCGCATGTGTAACTCGCATGTGTCACTCGCATGTGTCACTCGCATGTGTCACTCGCATGTGTAACTCGCATGTGTCACTCGCATGTGTCACTCGCATGTGTAACTCGCATGTGTCACTCGCATGTGTAACTCGCATGTGTCACTCGCATGTGTCACTCGCATGTGTCATGCATACATTGCATTGCGGCACTCGGATGCCTGTAATGCATTGCATCGCATGGTGATTTGATTGCCTGTAGATGTATGCCATGTGTCGCATACGGTGCTTCTATCTCACCATGCCTTCTTTGTGCCACAGCGAATGATACATGCTGCAGAGAGCGTGGACTATGATGCACGTTGCATGGGAATTGTGCATTGCGAATGGCGCATGGCACATGACACATTGGCGCATGGCACATGGCGCATTGCACATGGCGCATGGCGCATGGCGCATGGAACGTGGTCCACAGCGTACATACAGGTATTGAAGGTTGAGCAGCGCACCAAGGAAGTCAGGGAGGGAGCCTGAGAGCTGGTTGGAGCTTAAGTCCCTGACCATACAGAGGGAGGCGAAACAATGTTTGAGTCGACTCAAAGAAAAGCTGGTAGGAGCTCAAGTCTCTGACCATACAGAGGGGCGGGAAGAGAAGTGGAGAGGCCTTGGGAGTAAAGTGAGTGGGAGAATTTGGGGGGGGAGAGAGGTTGAGTGATGTTTGGAAGAAAAGAAGATAGAGAATTGACGATGGGGCATTGGTAAGAGTGAGGTTGATCAGGTGTTGCTTGGTGCGCAGCGCATGTGAGGCATGCAATGCATGGCGCGTGAGAGGCACACAATACATGGCAAACGGAAAATTCAGGAGCAGCAGTGATGGTATGGCACGCATGACTAAGGGTTTCAGAGAGTGCTTCTTGAAAGGCTCACAGGCGTGTGAGGTAGGTCAAGTGGCTGATGGCAGATGGGATACCTCCACTCAGCTGCTGTGATGGGAGCGCCCTGCATGGTGGCATGGTGGCATGGTAGTGTGGTGGCATGGTAGCATGGTAGCAAGGTGGTATGGTGGCATGGTGGCATGGTGGCATGGTAACACGGTAGTGTGGTGGCATGGTAACATGGTAGTGTGGTGGCATGGTAGCATGGTAGCAAGGTGGTATGGTGGCATGGTGGCATGGTAACATGATAGTGGGGTGGCATGGTAGCATATGGTGGCATGATGGCATGGTGGCGTGATGGCATGGTGGCATGATGGCATGGTGGGGAAATGGTGGAAAGTGGGGTGATGACGTCAAGGAGGAGTATTAAGGAAACCGCATCAGGTTTCGCACTCACGTGCACGCATGCCGCACTCACATGCACTTTACGCTCACATGAATCCACGTCACACTCACATGAATCCACGTCACACTCACATAAATCCACGTCACACCCACATAAATCCACGTCACTCACATGGACGAGACTCGCCCCGACACATCCTTGCAGGTGAGACCCCACGCGGTCGCACACACAGCGTTCTCCTTTTGAGTCGACACAAACCACCACTCACATGGAAGCTACTCGCCCCGACACATCCTTGCAGGTGAGACCCCACGCGGTCGCACACACAGCGTTCCTCTGCCACCCCGCGAACTGCTTGCCCCACGCGCCCATGATCTCTGCCAGCCACTTGGCTGGTGTGTGTGTGAAAAGGAACAGGGGGAACGAGGAGTCTGAATCAAGATGAAGGGGGTGCACGCACACTACATGAAGCGGCACCGCCACTTGAAAGCCACCCCGCGAACTGCTTGTTCGACGCGCCCATTATCTCTGCCGGCCACTTGAGTGCGAATGGAAGAACAGAAGAAAGGAGGAGTATCTATTAAGATGAACAGGGGCGCGCCCATTATCTCTGCCGGCCACTATCAAGTTTTGGGTCGACTCAAAACTCGACTCAAAACTCGACTCAAACTCGACTCAAAACTCGACTTATCACACAAAGAGGAGTATCTATTAAGATGAACAGGGGCGCTCACTCTGTGACTCTGTACATGAACCGGCACACCCAGTGCTCAGAAGCCAGCCACCACTGCTCGAAATTCACTCTGGGAATTGCTTCTTCCATGCGCGCACCACCTCTGTCAGCCATTGGCTGGCGTGAGTGAGAAACGTGCAAGATAAAACGAGAAGAAAACGAGCAAGATAAAGCGAGAAGAAAACGTGCAAGATAAAACGAGAAGAAAACGAGCAAGATAAAACGAGAAGAAAACGAGCAAGATAAAACGAGAATAAAACGAGCAAGATAAAACGAGAATAAAACGAGCAAGATAAAACGAGAATAAAACGAGCAAGATAAAACGAGAATAAAACGAGCAAGATAAAACGAGAATAAAACGAGCAAGATAAAACGAGAATAAAACGAGCAAGATAAAACGAGAATAAAACGAGCAAGATAAAACGAGAATAAAACGAGCAAGATAAAACGAGAAGAAAACGAGCAAGATAAAACGAGAATAAAACGAGCAAGATAAAACGAGAATAAAACGAGCAAGATAAAACGAGAATAAAACGAGCAAGATAAAACGAGAATAAAACGAGCAAGATAAAACGAGAATAAAACGAGCAAGATAAAACGAGAATAAAACGAGCAAGATAAAACGAGAATAAAACGAGCAAGATAAAACGAGAATAAAACGAGCAAGATAAAACGAGAATAAAACGAGCAAGATAAAACGAGAATAAAACGAGCAAGATAAAACGAGAATAAAACGAGCAAGATAAAACGAGAAGAAAACGTGCAAGATAAAACGAGAAGAAAACGAGCAAGATAAAACGAGAATAAAACGAGCAAGATAAAACGAGAAGAAAACGAGCAAGATAAAACGAGAAGAAAACGAGCAAGATAAAACGAGAAGAAAACGAGCAAGATAAAACGAGAAGAAAACGAGCAAGATAAAACGAGAAGAAAACGAGCAAGATAAAACGAGAAGAAAACGAGCAAGATAAAACGAGAAGAAAACGAGCAAGATAAAACGAGAAGAAAACGAGCAAGATAAAACGAGAAGAAAACGAGCAAGATAAAACGAGAATAAAACGAGCAAGATAAAACGAGAATAAAACGAGCAAGATAAAACGAGAAGAAAACGAGCAAGATAAAACGAGAATAAAACGAGCAAGATAAAACGAGAATAAAACGAGCAAGATAAAACGAGAATAAAACGAGCAAGATAAAACGAGAATAAAACGAGCAAGATAAAACGAGAAGAAAGCGAGCAAGATAAAACGAGAAGAAAGCGAGCAAGATAAAACGAGAAGAAAGCGAGCAAGATAAAACGAGAAGAAAACGTGCGAGATAAAACGAGAAGAAAACGAGCAAGATAAAACGAGAAGAAAACGAGCAAGATAAAACGAGAATAAAACGAGCAAGATAAAACGAGAATAAAACGAGCAAGATAAAACGAGAATAAAACGAGCAAGATAAAACGAGAATAAAACGAGCAAGATAAAACGAGAATAAAACGAGCAAGATAAAACGAGAATAAAACGAGCAAGATAAAACGAGAATAAAACGAGCAAGATAAAACGAGCAGAATGTCTCAAGATGGAAGCGGGAGAACGAGGAGTCATGCATAGAATCAAAGGGGGTAGATACACTGTCTGGCAAGGCTCCTCCCTCGCTTCGGAAGGAACGCAGCCACCAATACTCTGTGAGCTTTTAAGAAAGGATTTTTGAGTCTTTACGTTCTCTCCAGTCTGCGCCGACCATTGTGAGCCATCTGTCGCATCATCGGGTCAAGAGAAGGAAACTTTCGCCCCCTAGACCTGACTTTTGAGTCGACTCAAAAGCCACTCTGCACCCACCCATTGTGATCCATCTGTCGCATCGGGTCAAGAAAGGAAACTTTCGTCCCCGTGACCTCTCAAACTATAACATCGTGACCTCTCAAACTATAACATCGTGACCTCTCAAACTATAACGTCGTGACCTCTCAAACTATAACATCTCGTTACCCACTGGGTCAAAACGAGGAGTTATATGGCGCAGTGGAATGCCCAACCAGCCCACAGGCGTTACACTCGTCCCCCCCTGGTTGCCAACGTCCCCATTAGCAGGGGGGAGTCGCCCCCCTGCTAGGACCTAGATTTGCAGTAGTGCCAGCTGCGACTTCGTTGGTTGCTCAGATCGCGGTCCTGGGGTGTCCAGGACACCCGAACTCTGGACATACACGTCAGCATCAGCACGTGTTCCTGGCATGCCCCCCACAGATATGAGTTTGCTAATATCTGCTCGACTACTTGTCGGAACATCATTCGAACATCATTCGCGAAATGTCTAAAACCCCGGGGTTTTAGACCTACTTTTGTTGTACACGTCATCAGCTGTACACCCGAAGTGCACGTGTTTCCCACACCTACCGCTGAGCTGGAGTGTCCAGGACACCCCAGGACCGCGACCTCAGGCCAGCGGATGATCGTTTGCTGAGTTCGAGTTGATAACTACACTTCAATTCTCGCCGCAGGCGGAAAGTGTGGACCAGCTGGGACTTAACCCTAGGCTCTGATTCGAGTATAACATCTCACTACCCACTGGGTCAAAACGAGGTGTTATATGACGCAGCGGAATGCCCATTAACCAGACCACATGTGTTACACAAACTGTCCTTCCCAATAAACCTTCCCTTCGGAGGCGCTTCAAAGCTGGGCGCTGGCCCTGTTCAATAGGCTAACGCTTTGCAAAAGGCGAAGGCTAGGTTAAGGTTAAGAGGAGGGCTCAGCGCAGTTTCCTCTAGCTAATCGATTGCCCAAACCAGTCGGAAGCCCCACCCCTAAAGGTCGGAAGGAGCGGGGTCCTGAGGACGATACTGCTCGCCCCTTTCACCAGGGTCATCTCGGGCTGGGTTGAAAAAAAAATGCAACGCTCGCTAGAGGAGTCTGGGTAACGACATCGGAAAAAAAAGGTCCCACCCACAAATCGAAGCCGTTGGAACAATCTGGTTTTCATTCGGCAGATTTTTTTAGAGGCAGCAGGTTCAGCGGTTTTTTTTTCTAGGTGCACGGTTTGGGTATCCCTCCCAATCTTAGCCCTTGACGAGCCCTTTGGTAAACCCCACTTTGGGGGGGCGAGGGTTAGGCTAGGCGGGGGTTAAACCATTGCCCGTGCGGGAAGGACCCGGGATCTTTCTCAAGGGGCTAACGCTTCTTGTCTGGGATGCGTTCGACAGGCTAACACTCTGCATTCAGGTTCCAGAGCCTTAAAGCCCTTCGTCACCGATTTACGGGCTGACCGTGGAAAAAAAACCGACATCGAAACAGCCGCGAGGTTTCCGCGGGCGTTAAGGCTAGCCTATCGAACAGGGCCGCTTTTCGGGAGGCACTCCAGTCAGACCGGGTCCAGTCGGACTGGAAGCGAGAGCTCGGTTTCCCTCCCAAACTGGCGAAACCCCACCCCCCAGTCGGACTGGAGGGACTGCAGTCCGCTTCGGACCCTGGACTGCAGGCCGACTGAGATTTGCCCGTGAGAAAAACCTCGTGGTTGGTTCTGGAAGTTCCACTCCGACTGGGATTCGGGGGCGTTCGGGAGCCTAGTCGGAGTGGGGAGGCTTGGTGTTCTTCTAGCGATTTAGAGGGCCCCGAACCTGGCAGGAAGAATTTCGCTGCGAATTCCGCGGTCCGACCGGAGTGCCTCCCGAACAGCGCCCTGAACTTCAAAGCTGAAATTTCCCCTTTTTCCGTTCCCACGTCGCCCTCCTCCCACTCCCCCAAGCCCTATCGTCCCAAGCCCTTCATCCCAAGCCCTTCCTTCCAAGCCCTTCCTACCAAGCGCCCATCATCTCAACCCCTCCATCGCGCGGCAAGGCGCGTCGCTCACCATCGGCTTCGTGTATCCACGCAGAATGAGTTCTAAGTGGACTCAAAAGTCACCGAACCATTCATCCCAAGCCTCCATCATCTCAACACCCCGGGAGTCCCGTTTAAGGCGCGTCGCTCACCGTCGGCTTCGTGTATCCACGCCGAATCCGCCGCTCTTGCGATTAGCACCCCGCATCCGCCCCCGCCGCCGCCGCCGCTGCCGGCGGTGCGCTGCGGTTGCGCTCCGGGTTGAAGCGCGAGAAGCGCGGCGAGGAGCAGCACGGCTGACATTCGCCGCGCGTCACGGGCACGCGACGCGGAAGCACGGCGAGGGGGACGGCTGCTGGCCACGACGCGACGCCGCGGAACGCGGGGATTCGTATTGAAGGCATGGAGCAGCGCGGCTTTCGAGACGGTTAAGAAGTGTTACTACCCACGGACTCCAAAACTACATGTAGCACTATGTTACGGATGGGTGTTTTACGGAGCGAGGTTTGAAATAGGAGAACTACAACGTTTTCGAGGCTCGCTAACGTTGTCAAACGAAAGTTTGTTTCCTGGTAGTTAGATATCCGGGCTGTAGGCTAAAAGGAAGGGAGGGATGTACAAGAGGAAAGGGTCGCAATGAAGATACTTCTCTCATTGCAGACTAATGGTATGCAACGTGGCTCCTAGTACTTCTCCTGCTGCTAGACTCTGACTCGCGCTGTCAAAATTATTGGGATGCGGACTGTCGTGGAAATTATTGGAGATGAGTGTGCTTTGCCAAGAAGCAGCTATGTGTAGCGCTTTGGAGGCGAAACGATAAGGGCGTGTCCGCAAATGTATGTTTCCCTAGAAACCCTTCCTAACCATGTGGGATTCAAACGATACCGCTTTAGAACAAATCTAAACCCTTTTTAACCGCATTCGGACATATTCTCTGCACGCGCCCTAAGGACGCGGCACCTCTAGCGATTTAGCAGGATCGATCCTGCGCAGGCTCGAATTTCAACGGGTTTGAAAAAGGCTCTTAATGTTTTAAATATGATAGCTGGGATTTCAGTGCGGTTGAGGTTCGATTTTGTACGATCGATCCTGCGAAATTGCTAGAGGAGCCGCGTCCTAAACAAAGGGGTGGGTGGTCGACGAGGTCGGCGTTGAGGGCGATGTTTGGTAGCCCATGGAATACGGAAAAGCTGACGAGGCGGGAGCCCCAAGGGATGCGAATTCAACGATCGCGGCGACATAACACGGTGGCAAATTCGCATACATGTCGCATACGACACGCGTGCAGTAAATTTTCGTTGGCAAAGGGGTTCTTGCTGTGGAAACCGCAACGAATGGAAACTCGTTTGACGCGAATGACTTTGGCGAAATCGTCAGTCCAAACAAACGTTGCGTCAGCTTCACACAGGCGAACGGATTTCATCCAAGAACAACACCACCGAGGCAACACAGGCGGAAAGGTATGGCGGTGAAATGGTGTGGTTTGGGGCCGAAAACGTAGGCCGAACCAGCTGACCCAATCACTTAGGGTAATGAATGTGATGAGCCACAGTTCAGACTATTTATTCGTTACACATTGGTAAACGTTAGTCGACCTTTGGAATAAAAATACATAGTATATTTATTATGCATTTCAGTAGAATTCGACTGAGGAAATCATTTAATGGTTGGAAATATATGACATTTCAATGAAGTACAATCATTTTTTCTGAAATGATATGCGCTTCTAAAGATAATCGGCAACGACATCAGATTTACAAGGAAATGGGCGATCCTGTATTTTTTTTTTTCAACATGGAACACACACTCACTGCCAATAAGGTGAACTTGATAGCGAGTCTGTACCGCAACACATATAAATAAGCTCGGAGAACAGAGATTAGCTCCACTAAGAAGGAATTCAAGTTTCTTCTATGAGCATATTATTTCCTTCGCATACAACCATATGCCCCAACCAGCTCTTGTTACCCCAGAAAATAAGTAAAGCGTAGAAGCAGCTCTTGTTACCCCAGAAAATAAGTAAAGCATAGAAGCGGGTACGATCCTGTAAATACATCTGTGAAATCTAATGTCTCACCATGGTTACGGTAGCCAAAACTCCAAACAAACCCCTCAAAAGGGGAATAGAAATCTCAAAGAGCGAAAGAAAGAAAGGAAAAAGACTTTGGCTATGTACAACTTCATCTGAAACACATCAGTGTACTCCCCTCAGTTGCGATAACCAGCCACGCTCCCGCTCGCCTCTCCACTCGTCCCCTCTCCAGCACTGAAGCTCTCATTCCCCTCCAAGCTGCCCGTTGTATCCCTCACAGACCGGCGTCTCACTCATCATTGACACCCCATTATCCAGGCTCTCCCACTTCTCCTTCACCATCCCTCCCACCCCTCCCACTCCCTCCACACCCACATCCACTCCTACGAATCCACTCCCTTGCTCCAATCCGCTCTCCTCCTCCCGCCTCACCACCTCCTCATGGAGCTGCTTCAGCTGTGAGAGCACTTTGGCCATGGAGGGGCGCGAGGCAGCGGGCATGGCAGTGCATTCCATGGCCAGGGATACAAGGCTCTCCATGACGTCAGCATGCATCATGGTGATGTCACCGGTAGACGCAGCAGGGGAGGCCATTCGCGGGTCTATGATGGAGCTGACGTCACTGCTAGAGAGCTCTGCTGTCGCCTGTACGTAGGGAACAGGGGTAGGACAAGGGAGAACGATCAAGAGGGGACGGATGTGTAAGAGGGGACGGATATGTAAGAGGGGAAGTGTGTGTGTGTGTGTGTGTGTGTGTGTGTGTGTGTGACTCACCCATTCCCGGATGTGGGACTGCGAGCCATCGACCGAGAGGATGGGATCCCTGCCTGTCAGCATCTCAAGCACCAGCACTCCGAAACTGGAGGATAGAGGGGAGGGGAAGGGTAAATGGTGTGGTGGAGGAGAGAGGAGTGGATACAACAGAGCTGCAGGTGAGCAGGATGGGCTCCCTGCCTGTCAGCATCTCCCGCACCAGCACTCCGAAACTGGTGGAGAGAGGGGAGGGGACGGGTAGTTGGTGTGGCTGAGGGGAGAGGAGTTGATGCAACGGAGCTTGTAGCTGAGCAGGGTGGGCTGCCTGCTTGTTAGCCTCTCCAGCACCAGCACTCCGAAACTGGAGGATAGAGGGGAGGGGACGGACCGGATTAGCTTGTAGGTGAGCACATCCGGGGGATTATCTCCAGTGCTAATGTGTGCTAATGAACTGGCAGGTTGGCAGCACCTACATTGACAGCTCATATGAAGCAGCCAGCACCCACCTGTACGCGTCAGTGGCGGTGGTGGCGAGTTGGGTGTCGTGGTATTTGAGGTCCTCATAGCTCAACTCTAAAGCCTACACTCAGCTCACCTGTACACGTCAGTGGCTGTGGTGGCGAGGTGAGTGTCATGGTATTCAGAGTCCACAACACATAGCCCGACGTTACGTGACAGAGCCAAGATACACCAGAAGTCAGCATTGCTCACCTGTACACGTCGGTGGCGGTGGTGGCGAGGTGCGTGTCATGGTATTCGGGGTCCACATAGCCCGGTGTGCCCATCACCCTGGTGGGGTTCACCTGGGTCGCCTCCATCATCTGCATAAACCCAAAATCCGCCACCTTCGCCTGAATCATTGCAGGAGGAAAACCGAGATGTTGAAGGGAGGGAAAATCGTGTGAGGTTGCGTGGCGTGGGCAGAGGGAGGAAGAGCTGGGTCATTTAGGCCGCCTTTGCCTGCGAGGGTGGGTGGCTTGGGAGCGAGAAGAGGAGAGGAAATGGTGGAATGCAGTATTCGAAGTGACAATGAGGCACCTCTGAAGGTAGAATCACGTTGGTTAGATTTTGAACAGGAATACACACCAACTCAACATTTTTCCAATATGAATAGAGAATGTATGTTACAGGTGTTACAAATAAGTTTGAGTGAATTAAAAGCTACATATGTATAGACATGTAATCTTCAATCAATCATTCATATGCATGTGCTCAGCTGATTAGACCATGACCCTTACCTGCTAGAGTTAGCCCCCAGTCTCAACTTTTGTACTTGTATTTTTTATATTAAAGTTTAGCGTAGTTTGTAGTTTGTGCGGGCTGGGTGGTGTACACCCACATCCCTACCTCACCCAAATGTGATAAACCGAAATCTTCAACCCACCAATTAGACATTTCAGTCTCATTGAGATTGCCCCCAATTCCCTCCCCACCCATCCCATACTCATTTCGGATGTGCTTAAGATCCTTAAGCGCAATACCTAATGTATCAACTCAAGCTCAAGTTCTTACGCGTACCACCACCAATCCGAGCCTCACCCGCATGTCAGCATCCAGCAGCACGTTGGCTGGCTTAACATCGCGGTGCACGACCCGACGGCTGCGGAGGAAGCTCAGCCCATCTGCCACGTCCACCAGCACCGCCAGCCTCTGCCTCAGCGACATGGGTTTGGCTCCTGGGAGGTGCGGGGATGCGGGAATGTAGGGATTTGTTGGCTTGCCCCTAACCTTACCTGGCTTTGCCCTAACCTCACCTGGCTTGGCCCTAGCCTCACCTGGCTTGGCCCTAGCCTCACCTGGCTTGGCCCTAGCCTCACCTGGCTTGGTCCAGCGTGAGAGGCCTACGTTAGGCATGCAGTGAAACACAGTGATTTGCTCCATCGGCCTGCTTGCAACACCTGCACCGAAGCCTGTTTGCTTAACCTCACCTGGCCTGGTCCAGTGTGAGAGGCCTCCATCAGGCATGCAGTGAGACACAGTGATCTGCTCCATCAGTCTGCTTGCAACACCTGCACCGAAGCCCATTCACTCAACCTCACCTGGCTTGGCCTTTTCACCAGGGTGGTCCCAGCCTCACCTGACCTGGTCGTCTGTGAGAGGTCCCCGTTGGGCATAAACTGAGACATGATGATTCGCTCCATGTGGTTTGAAGACCGTTTGGCCCGACCTCACCAGGCATCTTGCAAACCTCACCTGGCCTGGTCCAGTGCAAGAGTTTTCCCGTTGGGCATGAACTGAGACACGGTGATCTGCCTGCATGCAATACCCCCATGTGATCCTGTTGGCCTAGCCTCACCCGACTTGGTCCTAACCTCACCTAGCTGAGCCTAGCCCTACCGGGCTTTCCATAACCTCAACTGGCCTGGTCTTCTGAGGGAGGTCCCTACTGGGCATGAACTGAGACACGATGATTTGCTCCATCTGCCTGCACGCAATACTCCCATGTGTTCTTATTTTGCGTTTGTTCACCCCAGCCTCACCTGTGGTCCAGTGGGACAAGTCCCCATTGGGCATGAACTGAGACACGATGATCTGCTCCATCTGCTTGCTGGCCTCGTTGTAGTCGATGCAGTACCCCAGCAGTGGCACCAGCGCTGGGTGCTGCAGCAGCGTCATCGCTTTCACCTGGGGATGCAGGTACACGGGGGGATGGGAGGGAGATTAGGAAGGTGAAGTGGAAAGGGGAGGCGTGAATGGGAGCAGGCATTGTAGTCGATGCAGTACCCCAGCAGTGGCACCAGTCCTGGTTGCTGTAGCCGCACCATCGCTTTCACCTGGGAGTTCGGGATGGGGGAAAGCCTGAAGCATGACTTGAGGAAGTGGTGTAGTCGATGCAGTACCGCAGCAGTGGCACCAGCCTTGGGAGCAGCAGCGCCATCGCTTTCACCTGGGGGTGGGGGATGGGAGAAAGCAGAAGGCATGCAAAAGAGGGCGATCAGGAAGAGGAAACAGAAAGGAGGAGGTCTGCACGCGAGGAAGAGTTGCAGTAGTTGCAGTACCCTAGAAGTGGCACCAGCGCAGGGTGCTGAGCCGCGCCATGGCTTTCACCTGGAGGAAGGAGGGCGGAAGGGAGGAAGATCAGGAATGCGACGTGGAGAGACAGAGGCTTGCATGAACCCAACAGCAGCACCAGCCTCGGGTTCTGCAGCCGCTTTCACCTGCAGGTAGGGGAGTACAGACAAAGGGAGAGAAACAAGGAAGGCGGAATGGAAAGAAGGAGGCACGCATGAGAGTAAGAGTTGTAGTCGATGCAGTACCCCAACAGCAGCACCAACCTCGGGTGCTGCAGCTTTGCCATGGCTTTCACCAGAGTTCAATAAAAATTAAAGAGAAACAAGAGCAGGAGATTCGGTTGACGCAGTACCCCAGGGGAGGAACCTTGCCCAATCTCTACACACTCTACTTCCCCTTAACCTCTTTCTTCCACTCCGCTCAACAGTCGACCTCCCTCTCCTTCTTCCACAAACTTTCTCTTCCTCACCCTTTGCCTTTTCACTCCCTTTCCCCTCCCTCTCCCACTCCCCCCATCCCCCATCTCCCCCCACCTCCTGCGTGAAGTCAGTGGAGAGCATGGTGGTGCGCTTCATGGCCCAAACTGCCCCACACCGGTCCACACCAATCCACATTGCAAATACCTGTAGATTCCCCTCACCTCCTTGACGGCCCACAGCACCTCGGATTGGTGTGGGTCCACACCCTTGTACACGTCGCTTTAGCCCCACACTGCCTTACCTTAACTTCACCTCCCTCTCCTTTCCCCTCGCCATTCCTTCAACTCCCCCATCCCAACCCACCCCTCACCTCCTCGTTTTCCAAACTCCCCTTCTTCCACCACTCCCCTCCCCGTACCTCCTTCTTAAAGGGTTTACGGTTCAAGGTTTAGGTGGCGCGCAAGACAGCCCACAGCAACCCGGGGTGGGGGGTTCCACGCCCTTGTACACGTCACTGCAGCTGCATAGTGCCTTACCTTGGATTCCATTCCCTCTCCTCCCCCCCTCCCCTCCTCCTTACCCTCCACTTCCCCCTCTACACCACTGCCCATACAACCTCTCGCACTCCTCCTACCCCCCTCCACTCCCCTCCCCTCCCCTCACCTCTTTCTTGAAGTCATTAGAGAGCATGGTGGCGCGCTTCACAGCCCACACCACCTCCGGGTCTTGCGGGTCCACGCCCTTGTACACGTCGCTGAATCCCCCCGAGCCAATCAGGTTGACCTCCGAGAAGAAGTTGGTGGCCTGCTTGATGTCCGCCAGTGAGTACTGCTTGCATGCTGGGGGTGAATAGAGCGTGGGGTGGGGCGGGGGGGATGGGTGTGGATAGAGGAAGGCAGCTGTCAGGATTTGGGCCCACTAGGATGACCTCCGAGAAAAGTCCAAAGGAGGAGAAAAGAAGAGATTTTTGAGAGAGAAGCAGAGAGAAATGAGGGAAGAAGGAGACCTGAAGGGCTCTGATCTGATTGATCTCCAAGAACCCATGCGTTTGTAAACTATCCGCATAGCTACTGGTATGCGCTTCTCACTGAGTGATGGGGGGTGGAGAGGCTCTAAAAGACTGCAGCCAAGCTATCATGGAGAGCAAGCTTGGAATGAAAGAAGCGAGTGAAGAAATATAAGAAGCACGTGGCATCGGTAGTACCTGGCACGGGACTTACAGGGTTCGGATGGGCGGAGGAGGAACCAGAGGAGGAGGGCGATAGCAATAAGGGCGATGAGTGCCGCCACCACTATTCCTGCAATGGCTCCTGCGGAGAGAGCACTGCTGGAAGCAGAGGGGGGAGCTGAGGCAGGGAGAGGAGGTAGATACACGAGATTGAGGGACAAGGTGGAGGAAGATAGTAAGGA